CCCGCTTGTCGCGGGGGTGCGCGGCCCCCGCCGCGGAGCTGCCCGGCGCCGGGGGGGCGACCGTGGTCGTGCTGATCTTGCCCGAGTCGTTCGCTTCCAGCAGGGCCTCGTCCTTGCTGTCCGCGTCGCTGTCCCCTTCACTGGGGCAGAGATCTGCAAGACAAAAGCGGAGCCGGGCTGGGACCGCGGACCTCCTTCCGCCTGCTTGAACGGAGAGAAGGGGCGCAGAAACTTCGACGGTCCCAAAACTAAATATAAATGCTTTTTTTTTCTGTTGTTTAAGTGAATTCCCAGGCTCCCACTGCCCGCCCCGTTCGCGGGAGCTGAACTTTCACATTGTCGAGGACTTGGCGGGGATGCAGAGCGGCGTCCTGAGCCCCCCCGGCCGCGGGCCAGCTGCTCGTTCCCGCCTGCACCGGGGTCAATCCGGATTAGCGGCACTTAAAACTGCCTGACCCGCGGGGTTGGCAGACGGGCCCCTGCCGCCCCCGTCGAGCCCGGGGCCGCCGAGAACCCTTGGGGGGTATATCTGGGGGGCTTCTCCCATTTTTCCAAGCCTTCCCAGGCAGACGCGAGTTCCCTGCCGCCTCCCCCCTCTCCCTCTTCAGCCCTGAAGCCGCCGGATTCCCCCCGCACTTCTGCTCCTAAATGGAGTTCTCCGGGTGCGAAACTCCCCTTTCCTTTTGGGGTCCCTAACAGCTGCCCTCCCTTCGGCTCGGCAGCGCTTTAAACAAGCGAGCAAAGCAACGGCAACAAAAAAGGGGTTGTTTCCTCCTCCCCCCACTTGGAATAACGCAGCCTCTGCCCCGCGCCGCGAGGGAGAAGCCCAGGGTGGCTTTTCTATAACAAAGTTCGGGACTGTATCCAGGGGAAAGATCCTTCCTTTAATAACAGATTCAGGGAGGAATATTAATGGAGTGACTCCAGTTTTGAACTTTTGCCCCGTGGTCTGTCTTTGCTCCCTTGACTCGGAGCTGGCTCCTTTCTGAACCGAGGAGGGGAGGAAGGAGGGGGACGGCGAGAGGGGGAGGAAGAGAGAGAAAGAAAGGGAGGAAGTCGGACAGGGGGAAAGGGGAAGAGTTTTTTTTAAGAAAGCAAGAGAGGGAGGAAGAAAGGGAACAAAAGTGGAAGGGAGAAAGAAAGAGTGAGAGATGGAGAAAAAGGGGGGGGGGGAATGAAAGGGAGAGAAATGGAGAAAGAGCATAAGAGAGAAAGCAAGCAAGAAAGGAGAGAGGAAAAAAAAAAAAAAAAGCTTCGCATTGGAGCACACGGATCCCACCCCGGCACCACCAGCTTGTCCTGGGGCAGCGGCTCCTCCTGCTGCGCGGGGCCGCGCAGGGCGCTCACCCTTGAGGCTGGAAGTGCCCACGGACGGCGCGGCGGGACAGGCCTGCGCAAAGCACTTGAAGGCGGTCTGCTGTCTTCGTCCCCCCGCATGGACTGCAGGGGCAGCTGCTTCCTGCGGGGGACAAGGGGGATGAGTGCGGGGAGGGAGGGGGCAGAAACCCCACTGCCCCCGCCAGCCCCTGGGGAAACCTGCCCCGAGGGCCGATCTGGACACGTCGAGCGGAGCTGCTGGAGATGCTGGACGGCGGGACCCCCTTCCTGGGGACCCTAGGGGGCAGGAGGGGGTCGTGGAGCGCAGCGCGGGGCGGGAGAGGGGGGCGAGGGCAGTGAGAAGCGCTCCCAGGGGATGAGCTGCTAAAAGGCGAGGATGTTCCTGAGATAGGATCCATCTTAATGGTTGCTAGGCTTGCGAGGAAGTGGTTATTTTGTTAGGCACTTTATGTAAGCTTTTCGCCAACAATTAACCCGGAGTAAAATCTATTTATATTTGGAGAGAAATTAGAAATCATTTCCGTCCTGCGGCTCCAGCATTGGCTTTATTTTCACACTGATGGACAAGAGGCTCTGGCGTGTGTGCGCGCGCGCTGGGTAGAGGGAAAGGCCTCGTGTTTTGATTTACAGTTTCTCTCTCTCTGTCTCTCCTCCTCTTTCTTTCTTTTTTTTTTTTCTTTCTTTCCTGCCTTTTTCCCCTCTCTCTCTGTCTCTCCTCCTCTTTCTTTCTTTTTTTTTCTTTCTTTCCTGCCTTTTTCCCCTCTCTCTCTGTCTCTCCTCCTCTTTCTTTCTTTCTTTCTTTTTTTTCCCTTTCTTTCCTGCCTTTTTTCCCCTCTCTCTCCCTCTCTGCCTCTCATTCTCTTCTTTCTCTCTCTCTCTTTTTCCTAAAACGAACAGATTTATCTAAAACCTAGTGCAAACGTATAAAACATCCTGCCTCCTCCAACAAAACAAAAGGCATATACCCCAGTATAAATAAACGAGTCGTGCCTTTCTCTATTTCCCCTAATACATATATTATAGATGTGTGTATATATATATGTACACACACAAATCTTGGGTCACTTTTAGTGCTGCCCATCTTTCTACCTGCCATACAAATGATCCGGCTGCTTTTGCAAAAATAAATAATGCTTCCCTATTCGAAAGACATTTCTTGTCAAAACAGAGACAGTGTAAAGAGTATTTCTATTTCTGTCCTCCATACTCCAGCCTTTTCGGGAGAGTTCCCAGGAAAAGGCCAGGGGAGAGGCAAGCAGCTCTGCCCTCACTCCTCCCTGTTTCGCAGTTCCAGGTAGAAACTGTGGGACAAGATCCCTGCCAAAATTTAAAGGGAAACTTCTTTCGCCAGGACTATTTGCCGTCTTTCTCTTAATGCCCCGACGCCACTTTCGCTCGCCAACCAGCACAGGGAAGAAAGTAACCTTGGACACACGGCCAGTTCACATGCAACCAGCTTGGCGTCACTAGTGACAAGATCCTTATGAATTTTGGCGGGGTAAGTGTGGTTTGGAGGAAATGGGAGGTGATTTCGACCTCCGCTTGGGTCTTTTGCGCAAGAAAACCCCAACGAGGCGCCGCTGGGTGATCTCGGCGGACTCACCTTTTCTCTCTCCTTCCATTGCCAGTATCACGGAAACCTTTGGCAAAAGGGTTGTTGTCGATTTTTAATTGAGTTATCTAAAGGGAGGGAAGAAAGAAAGAAAAAATCGAAGTGGAGGAATGGGTAATATAAAGAAATCTAATTGCCTTATAGAAATAATATAGAAGTAAAGCAAGTAGATGTAGGGAGGAGGGGGATATTAAGCCCCCTTCCCCCCCGTTGTCCGCTCTGCGGGACCAGGACACGGCCACCTCATTTGGGGTGAATCCCCTCGCTTTTCGGTGCCGCAGCTCTTTAACGGCCCTCTTTAACCCGCAAAGGAATCGCACCCACCCCTCGCGATAATAAAATACTTTATATAATCGTATTAGGCTCCATGAGTGTACGCGTGTTGGGGGAGAAGGGGGAGAAAGGGGCACGATATAGCTGATTTGGGAGGGGAAACAAACAACAAAAAAAAAGACAAACCACCAATTTTTCACGCACGTGCTGGGGAACGGGGGATCCGCGGCTGTAGCCGTGATTTCAGGCTTCCCTCGAAAAGGGGATTTGGAAGCAAGGAAGCAAGGAAGGAGTGGGGGAAAGTCGCCCCCCCCACACAGTTTTTTTTTTCTTTTTTTCCTCTCCATACAGCCGGCCGATGTAATTCTTTGGCTGGCAAAGTCCTCCGAAGTGAGGAGGGAAGCGAGAGCCTAAAGAGTGAATGAACTTCTGCCTTCCTGAAACTGGGGGTCCAAGTGCTCGCAATCGAGACTGGGTCAGTGCACGGGGAAAAAAATAATGTAAAATAAACTAAATAAAACCAACACTGCTACGAGTTGCCAGGACTTTTAATCCAAGTCATCCCGGCTTTGCTTTGTGCCCTTCCGACAGCGTCGAGGGCTCCGTGAGGCCCCCCCCGGGCGCCTGCTCCGCGATTTCATGGCAATCAGAGCGACCCGGCGACCGCTGCCCGTTCAGCGAGGCGGCCCCCGCGGCCGGGAGGGGCTCCGGGCACCCCTGTCCCGCCGCCGAATCTGTCCCGCACCCGCGTTTTTTCATCGTTTTCTCAAAAAAATGCCCAGCCGCCTGGAGAGAGCGAATCAACCCCAAGGCGGGGAGGGCTGGCTGGGCAAAAATGACGGAATCCCCTCATTTTGCCCCCCTGACTTTTAACCGCGGGGGGGGGGGAGACACCTGGGGGCAGGAGAGCCTCGAAAAGGGGCTGCGCGTTTCCCATCCAGCGCCCCGCGCTCCGCTCGCCCGCGGAGTTGTAATTTATAGAGCGAAAGAAAAATATATATAAAAAATAAAGCCTCCTGGGGGGCTCCTTTGCTTCCTTCCACTTGACTTAATTATCGTAAATTCACCCGTTTCCCGGGCTCCCCAATGTGCCACCTTCGTTGCGAGCGACAATAAAGCGGCCGAAATGGGAACGCGACGGCTGCGGCGCTACAAACTTTCTCACACTGCCTCGCTTAGCCCTTCCAGCTAAACCCCGGCGAGATACCCCTCTCTGATCAGAGCATATTTCTCCACCACAAAAATAATAAAACACTGCAGGATACAAAAAAAATCATAATATAATAATAATAGAAACCAGACGTGCGCTCCAGACTTATTGCCAATTGCTGTTAAAGGAGCTAAAACAGCACAAAGGCCAGGAAGAATTACAAAATCTCCAACCACACTGTTCTCCTCGCTCTGTCTTTCGACACACGGATCCGATTCTTTTCCTGATGCGCCTTAGATTAAATCCACACCGAAAGCGGCGCCCTCCGCACCATCCTGCCCCTCTTCCCTCCTTACCCTCCCCGCAAAACAGGCGAAAAGACACCCTCCTCTCCGAACCCACCCTGCAGCGCTTAGTTTGGAGCCACGGGACGGGGGTCGCGCCACCCCCTGCCCCAGCGCCCCCACGACGTGGGGGCCACCGCTCTGGGGCAGGAGGGAAGGAAATGGAGGGGGGAAAACACGGGCGTCGTGATTTTGAAGGGAACAATGCAGAGTAAAAGCTCTCCCCAAAGCCAAAACACGTAAAACAAATCCTTTCTTAATCTCCTTACCTTATCATTCTGGTATGCGGTCACTGCGATGAATTCCGTCTCCGGGAAAACGTAGGTCCTGAACGTGCTATAGGGAAGCTTGAGGATATCGTTGGCTCGCACGATGTGGAACCGGGGCTGGTACTTGTGCATGGAGTTTAAAATGGTCTGCGGAAAGGGGCGCGGGCCGGGGTCGGGGGGAGATAACAGAGGCACAGTGAGCAGCAGCCCGAGCGCCGTACCACCACTTTTTCCTAATTTGCTTTCCCTTCTTCGGCCTTGCCTCACTCCTCCTCCCCGCCAAACGTGCTCTCCGAGCACACGCGCCTCGCAGCATCCCCCGAAAAAGCCATGACAGCTCCCGCTCACGCTCCCCGCTCTGTTATGTCTAAGAGGTGGGGGGCTTAATATCCCAACAGCGATTTCTTCCCAGGGGAGACCGAGCGGGGGAAACTCTGGGGCCTCGGGACAAAAATATATTTCGCTTTCAACGTGAAATAAATAAATAAGCAGGGGGAAAAAAAGGCAGCAGGAACTATAACAGCAACACCAGCAGCAGCGCCTCTGCTCATGCTAATTGCTCGCCCCTATCCACTTAAGGCCTTCTGCGAAAAGCGAAAAAAAAATACTCATCGTCTAATCAAATCTCAGACAATCTCAGTAAATGCAATCTTCAGCACATTAGGGATCCCCCGGCCACGGCCACCCCTGGCTCCGAGGCAGGATCTTTCCCCGGAATGGAAAGAAACGGCCGGGATCGTCCCGGCACTTATCAGCAGGTTTGTTTGATTTCGCTCTTAGGGGAGGTTTTTATCTCTGCACACCCAGTAAATGTAGAGGAGTGGATAGACATGAATGGGCAACTTGACCTCTGATTTTGGTTCCTGTTTATTTTCACTTCGGCTTGCTTTACATTATCCAGATTAATATATATTTAAATGTTTGCATACTTAGGCCTTTAAGCCCTTTATACACATATGCATATCATTTTCCTATGCTTAAGAAAAAAGTGCGATCATCTTTATTAATACATATATATGTTATATATATATATATGAACACAGCTCTATGAAATACCGAGTTATGCTATGCTCGAAATCTATGTCTAAAATCACCATTAAACAGCACGCAGTGCGCTGGTGAAAAGCTGCCAGATAAGCTGATTTTTTTAATATTCGCTTTAGCGAAAGCACGTTAAAAGAAGAGCATAAACCTGGGCTGGAGGTCCCCGGCGCGCGCGGGGAGGACATATGGCCCCCTGTTCCCCCCGTTTTTCGTCCCCCCGAGCCCAAAGCCACAGCCCGGGCCGCGGCTCCGCTCCCGGTCGCGCCGCCTGCGCGAGGCTCGGCCGGGAGCGCGGAAACCCCGGGACAGCGAGGGGGGCAAAGGAAGACGGAAAAGCCACTCACAAATCCGTGCTTGTCAGAGATATTGTTAGTGAGCTTCAGCTTGTGAAAAGTGACGACTTTGGACATCCATTGTTCGCCGGTGGCCGGACTGTCCGGGTGGATGTACATTCTCTTTGGCATTTCAGGGTCAGCTTTGCCGGCTACCATCCACCGGGAATTATGGAATTTGTACCTACAATCGTCAGCCGCCACAATATCCATCAATAAAATGTACTTGGCCTTTTTATCCAGTCCAGTGCATCTCACTTTAAATGGAGGAAACATTCTCCTATGGGGAAAAGAGAGAGGGGGGGAGAGGGGAAGAGAGAAAAGACAAGACGGGGAACAAAAATAATTACGGTATAAGCCGGTTCTTGCTGCTCGCTGCCGCGTCTACCCGGAGATCGCTACGGTTCTCGGAAGCACAAAACTTTCCCCCTACCCCAAACAACAACATAAAAAGATCCCCTCCCGGTCCCAGTGAAAAGTCTTTTTTTTTCCTTTTTTCCTTTTTTTTTCCGAGCACTTAAGACTTTCAATAGATAATTGTCCCTGGGATAACATGGAGCAGGGAGAGGTCTGTATCCCCTATAAATCAGCACGCACCTAACCTCCTTCCATTCCTAAACAGTAAAGCCTCATTTGGGTCACCAAGAGCGCTCATTATTTCCCTATTTTATTATTTTATTTTATTTTCCCATTAAACAAAGCGGCACGGCCAGGCAGGGTTCCGACACAGAAATACTCTGCTTTTCTCTAAGCCTCTTCATCGATAGGGAGTAGGGGACAGTGCGAGGACGACTTTCCCCTAGTTCCAGCGTCCCGGACTGCGACGTGTATTTGTGCACCGGGCTCCCTGCAAACCGCATCCCCCCGCTCCCAAGTCCAGCTCGAAACTGCAACAGGATACCACAAATTTGCTGTTTATTATATCGAGTGGTTGGCATTCGGCAATCACAACTTAAAAGGAAACACATGACTTTGCAGCGCGCAAGGGCGCCTGGTGCTCGGGCGAGGCGTTCGCGCAAAACTTTTGCCCACAATTAGCAGAGAGTGAAAAATGATAATTAAAAATAAAAATAAAAATAAAGCAGGGAAAGGAGGTGAAAAGGGCGAGGGGCTTTGGCCCTCCCTACTCCCTGTTTTTTACCGAGCCTGTGCCCTGCAATGGAGCAGGACAAGGAGGAGAGGCTGGAGCTTGAGGAGAGCCTGGCCCGGATAATTCTCCAGGCAAATCCCACGCGGGGGTTTGGTGCATTTGGAAGACGGTGTGTTATAAAAACACCCAAGTGCAAAGACTTGTCTGGCTGCATGTCACCGGGAGCACGGATGCACCAGCAGCGAAGGCAAATTTCGAAAGGGGCAACCCCTAAAATGCAGAAATGCAGCGTGGACGTGGTGGAGGCTCATTCACTCTCACGGGACGGTTATATAAATACACGCAGAAGTGTATAAACACGCCGCGCTTTTTTGGGTGGTGGTGGGGGGGCTGTTTGCAAAATCTACCCCCCCCACCACCACCCCCGGAATTACAGGCAGGCGCTACGCCGTGCGTACAGCACCGAGCTATCTTTTCTATCAGTTTTTGCATGCATTTCCAAATGCAGTTAGTCAGCACAAATGCACGCCTAGCTCGCAGCAGCAGAGCCGCGAGTGAAGCAGCTGATAAAGTGCATATATCTCGCCCTCCTGCAGCTACTACTTCACCAGCACAGATACGCCTCTACAAATGTTTCTTCTTTGTGTGTTTCTTTTTTTTTCTCCCCCCTTTCCCCTTTCCCTTCAGGAAGCAAAACTCCAAGCAGCGAGATTGCAATCAGGCCAGCTCCATTTGCAACCCCAAATTATTTTCTGTCTGCTCCCAGCGCTCTCCAGAAAGTATTAAAGCTACTGAACCATGAACGGCCCCTCGCGCCCCCTCCACATGCGTCCTGAGCTGAGACCATGCGCGGCTCAGGAGTTCAGCCTTTCCCGGGAATGTGGTGCCCGATGCACGCCCGGATCTTCAGCTATCTGAAACTTTGCATAATTCCAGATGAAACAAGTTTTATGGAGGAAGTCACTGGCAAAAACGCCTTTCTTTGGAGGAGACTGCTAGGATGCAGGGACTTGGGGAGGGGAAAGGTGGGAAGAGAGAAAAGTCACGAAATCCAGACTCAGACCTACCTTCCTGATTTGGTAATCACCATCTCCGTGCCTCTTTTATGGAATTGCTCCCAAAGTTCTTTGGCTTCCAGATGCACTTTCGGGTCATCTTCCACCTCTTCTTCGGGCTCCAGAGTTTTTAAAGGCCTCAGATGAGCTGCTGCCTGGTGGCCCAGGGAAGAAAAGGGGATACCAGTCTCTGCAGCCCCCACTAACTGATCCATGATGGGTTTAGCCAGAGCCCCGGGCAGGGAGAGGGCGGCAGCCCCGTTGGGAGGCAAAGCCAGGGCCGGGAAGAAGGGGGGTTGGTGGCCCAGCACGGCGCTCATGGCAAAGTCCGGGGCCCGGTGAGGTAAGAAGGGGTGATAAGCCATGCTTGTCCCAGGGATCACTGGATCTCTCATCGGGATATTCATCCACTCCACGCCTCGGGCTTCCTACTTCTGGGGTAGTCCTGGAGTGGGTTCTAACAGCACATCGCAAAGAAGAGAAAAAAAAAAAAAAAAAGAGTAACAACAGCAGCAAAGCACACACAAGAAAAAAAGTAGTGGTGGAGGGGAGACAAGCTCTAGTGCATGGGAGGTGGAAGAACTAGAGCCCGCACCGTCCCGAGCGGGGGCACATCCCCAGCCCTCGGCGCAGTTGCTCAGAATTGTTCATTCTCAGTCTTGCTCTTTTTTGTTTGTCCTTGTTGTTCTGTCTTTCTGTGGGTCTTTTGGATTTTTTTTTCTCTCCCCGTACAGAAGTCCTCGAGACTGGAAAGCAACGCCGGAAAAAAAAAGAAGGTGGAAAAAAAAAAAACACACACAAAAATCCAGAGCTCGGCGGTGTCTCCCGGCGCCGCGCAGGGGCTGAGCCAAGCGAGGTCCTTATTTTTTTCCTCTTCTTCCTCCTTGCCGGGCTCTCAA